GTGGCGGTCGGATCCGTCCGGCAGGCGGCGCGGGCTGCGGGCGGCGCAGGCGGCGGCTGGGGTCCGGCTTCGGGCCCCGGCGGCTGCGTTGGTTCCTTTCCGTCGCGGGCGTGCGGTGGTGGTGCGGCTCGGCCGGTGGCGGTCCGGCGACCTGGTGGTGGTGGCCGGCAGTGCGCGTGGTGGTGGTGCTTCCACTTGGCGGCTTTCTGTGCAGGGAGGCAGGGGAGCGGCGGCGTCGATGGCGTGCCGGCTGCAGCGCGAAGGCAGGAGCTTTACGGGCCTCGGAGATCCCGGCCGGGCCTGTGCGGCCACGGGCCTGGTATGTTCCTGCTATTGCGTCCGGTCAGCTAGATGGGGGTGAGGCCCTCCCGCGTGCCGACGGTGCTGCTGCCCTAGTCCCGGCTCCTCTCCCTCTTTGTGCGGACCATGCTTCACGGTGCCGTGGTGAGACGGCGTGGGAAGCTTCGTGACCGGGTTGGCGCTGGGTGAGGGTCTGTTTGAGCTCTGGAGTGCCTGAGGTGGAGGTTGGGATCGGGAGAAATCTCTGTTGGCTTGGCCAACACCGACAGGGTGGCGCTTGTGGGTACCGCCTGACCTTCCTGAAGGGTGTCGGGGCTACCCTTCCTCTCTCCTCACAGCGTACCTGGGGAAACCCTTGGCAGCAGCGTCGTCATCGTCGCGTCCCTTCTTGGAGGTGCTGATTGGTACCGGTGCTTCGGAGGCTCGGTGCTTGGTGGGCGATCTCCGGTGGGTGCAGCGGCCACGAGGCTTCTTCGTTTTTTCGTCGATCCGCCGTTGCTGGCATTAGTTTCTCTTGTATTTTCTCTTTCTTTTCTTTTGGGCGTGACTGTGCTGCTTCCACCCCAGCACCTATCGTTGGATGTTCGGTTGGTTGCTTTGTATACAAACCGGGAGAAAACCCTTTTTCGGTAATAAGCAAGCAGATGATCCATCCCTGGTGCTCCGCCGCGTCGCCTCCTCCCAGCGCTCCGGCGCGGCGAGCATCACGTAGCGTGTGGTGTGGCTCCCGGATCTACTCTGCTGCGGTGAGAGGCAAGGGGAGCAGCGGGTGGCGGCTGACCCTGGGAGTGGGAGTGGGACTGAGGTCGGAAGAAGAGGATTGGAGATACGTACGTAGCAGTAAATCTAGGTCACGGGATGGAGAAGATGATGGGCTTTCGATCACGGACCGTATGAACACCGATCCATCTCTCCGTCTCGGACCGTATGAACAGCGATCCATCTCCCCATTGCGGACCGCATGAACAGCGATCCGTCTCGCTCTCTTTTCCAATTTCCCTCGTTGCAAAACATAGCGACATCAGTTTGACGCTGAATCCTCGAGGAAAGGAAGGGAAATTCCGGAGGAAGAACAGTGAGTATCGCTCTCGCAACAGAGCGCGGCGATGCTGCCACTTAAATTCCCCATTTTCATAAAAAAATTGGCATTCCCCTTGTCCTACTCCTACGCGACAGGAGGGCGGCCACGCTGCCACTAAATCTGACAAATTGGATTACGCTTATCTCTATCTCTATTTTACCACGGTGCGTCTCATATGCTTGTGTGCATCCTATGATGCAGAGGCTAGCTAGGGTTATCTTTTTTTTTAGAAAGGAGTTTTATTTGCTTAGAAAAAAAATGGCGTTCATTTTCCTGTAGAATGCTTTTCCCAACCTGCATTTCTTTCTCCCACCTGCACATCTCTCCACCGATTTTTTTCGTCCCACCGGTTTTTTGGGCACTGTTGGGCGCCGGCCAACTGGCCATGACCACAAATTGGTCCCCTCCTGGACCGTTTGATCGGGTCGACAACAGCCGTCAGTCTCGTCCCCACAGTGCGGAGTCGTTCCCTCTCTTCTCACATGAGTCGTTCGTGCGGTTCTAGGAAATCTTGTTCGACCATCTCCGCGGTGGCAACACCCCATGCACACTCCGCTCGATGCTTGCCATCTCTACACTAGTAGCACCGCCTCGAGTGCCATCGTGCCACTCCTCGTGTGTCGCTCGCGGCTCGACGTTGTGCTGCCCCGCCGGTTCCAGCATGCAGGAGCCATGGTCATATGATCGTGGTCGGTTGGTTCCAACACATGGCGGTCACGGTCACAGCATCGCGGTCGGCCGGTTCCAAGCCCTGTCGACCATGGATGTCGCATGATTGGCCACCAGTCCCAACACCAGGTAGCCTGGGGTTTGCAACTCCATCTCTCGTCGGGTGCAGCTTCTGCCGTAGTAGGTTGCAGCTCCTCACCTATTTGGTTGTAGCTTTGGACTCCTCGTCAGATGTAGCTCTCGTTGTAGTCTATTGACCAGCTTTATAGAAAAAATATCAATATTCACAATACAAAATCAATATCATTAGATGCGCCATAAATTTAATTTTCGTATTGTATAACTTTAATACTATAGATGTTGATATTTTGTCATATAAATTTGGTCAACGTCGATGAATTTTGACTTTATGTAAAGTAAAGGAGCACGGCCCATTCGCTAAGGCAGGAAACCCATGTCTCCTTGCTCGATGGCGGCGGCGGCACCGTCTCCTCCCGCCCGTCGCCATGTCCATCGTGGCGGACTGCTCTCACCCGCCGGAGGAAGGCCACCCGTCGACTGGCATCCAGTATGCAGAGCAGCAAGCATCATCAACTCCCCCTCCTTCGCTGCTCTCACCAGCCGGAGGAAGGACGCACATCGACTCTCATTTACCTACTCAAGAATAAGCAGGAATTAAGCTTGGGGTGCTGATACGTCTCCAACGTTCCTACAGTTTTTGATTGTTTCATGCTATAATATTATCAATTTTGGATACTTTATATGTCTTTTTGTGATATTTTATATCATTTTTGGGACTAACCTATTAACCCAGTGCCAGTGCCAGTTGTTGTTTTCTGTTTGTTTTTGTTTTTTCAAAGCTCTATTTTATATCATTTTTGAGACTAACCTATTAACCCAGTGCCTGTGCCAGTTGTTGTTTTTTGTTTGTTTTTGTTTTTTCAAAAAATCAGTACCAAGCGGAGTCCAAACGCTACGAAACTTGTTGACGATCTTTTTCTGGACAAGAGAGACCCTAGAAGCTTCAGGAGGAGACCGGACGACGAACGAGGAGACGGTAAGGCAACAGGGCACGCCAAGGGGGCGCCCTATTACCTTGTGGGCCCCATGAGGCTCCGTCTGACCTAATTCCACTTCTATAAATCCCCAGAGAGCCACCGGGAACACTTTTTTCTCAGTCGCAAGGTTATGTTCTTCCGCGATTTCATCTGGAGGCCTTTTCCGGTACTCTGTCGGAGGGGGAATCGATCAGAGAGGTCTTCTACATCATCCTTTCCACCTTCCGATGATGCATGAGTAGTTTACCACATATCTACGGGTCCATAGCTAGTAGCTAGATGACTTCTTCTCTCACTTTGATCTTCAATCCAATGTTCTCCTCGAACTTCTTGGAGTTCTATCCAATGTAATCTTTTTTTGCAGTGTGTTTGTTGGGATCCGACGAATTGTTTGTTTATGATCAGATTTTTCATTGAAAGTAACTGAGTCTTTTCTAAACTTTATTATTCACGATTGTTATAGCTTTGCAATGCTCTCTGATCTATCCGTTTAGTTTGGCAAACTAGATTGATTTATTTTCACTGGAAGAGGTGCTTTGTAACGAGTTTCAATCTTGCGGTGCTCTATATCCCGTTGACATAGTAGGGGACAAGACACGTATTTGTATTTTCGTCATTAAGGATAAAATGACGGGGTTTATTTATATTGATTGGGTTTACTTTGTCTACATCATGTCATCTTGCTTAAGGCGTTACTTCGTTTGCATGAACTTAATGAGAAGATGCATGCTGGATAGTGGTTGATTGGTATAGTAGTAGATACAGACAGGAGTCAGTCTACTTATTTCGGACGTGATACCTTCATTGTCGTGAATACGTCATAAGTATACACTTTTCTATCAATTGCCCAACAGTAATTTGTTTACTCATCTTATGTTATGTGTTCGAGAGAGTAGTCTCTAGTGAAAACTATGCCCCCGAGTCCACTTTTACATATTATAAAAACCAAAAATACCTTCTTGCAATTTATTTACTTTTCTTTTCTTTTACAATTTATTTATCCTTGAACCACTA